CATTGCGCAAAGTAAGCCTTTGCAGTATAGTTGATTTTGCCCAGAGGCGCTCTTGAGGTGCTCTTGGGGGAAAATAGACCTTGACATATGCGAGTTGTAGCTACTGGGATGTATCGTTCACCTACAATCAAAGAGCATTCTGAACTCCACCAATGATGGAATTGAACCAAATATGGCACACAGAACTCCCATGACAAACAGAAAAATATATATCAGTGATTGGTACTGTTTGTTTACCATTGAAAATTACCTAGGGCCGCCTTTGAAACCTCCCATGTCTAGTTTCCAACAGATCTCACAGCCTCTAAGGATACCTGCTATAGATGTGGGTGAAACATCAGGAGAGAATGCTTTTGGAACATGGCCATACAGCCCAGAAAACCCACAGCAACCCAGTGGTTCTGGTCATGAAAGCCTTAAACAACACATAGATTCAGATCTGATTATCACTTGGATGGCAAACAAGGATCTCCCAAGTAGGGTTGAAAACCATTCTGTTTGAAACCTTGGAGACCACCTGCCAATCAAAGCTGACAATATGAAACTAGATAGTCTGACACTGTATAATACTGGTTTCCTATATTCCTATGTTCAGTACTGTCCAAGTATTGAGTAGCTGCCCGTATTGTTTTTGTTGAAAAGCTGAAAACCTTTCAAAACTGGACAGTAACATCTTAAAAACCAGAGAATCGGTGCTACAGGTGGAGTGCCACCACTGACAAGGCACTGACATGGCAACATGTTTTGGAAAACAACCATATATGAGGGTTGAATGAAAAGTAATGCCTTCACTTTCGTTACTTGGGTTTGGATGGGAATATTTTAATAAATCAAATGCAGAAATAATCCTTAGAATGTGCTCTTTAACTACCACTATTCACTTTTCCACATAATCACCAGACAGTTGGATACATTTCTGCCAACAATGACCAAGTTTTCTGAAGCCGTCACAGAAGAAGTCAACACTCTGTTTCCGCAACCAGCGTCTCACAGTTCTCTCAATGTCTTCATCGGAAGCATAATGATGTCCCCGCAGATCTCTCTTCATTATCGGGAACAGATGGAAGTCAGACAATGCTAAATCTGGACTGTATGGAGGATGCTGTACAGTGGTGAGATCCAGTCCCTGAAGTTTCAAGTCTGTGCGCTTTCATTTCGTGCACAGATCTTCCAATAGCCAAGCAAAGCAATAATGTGACCCACACAATCTTGTGAAATGCCAATTATACTTGAAATTTCACTCTGAGTGATACGATGATTGTCCTGAATCAATCTGTCAACCTTTGGCTTGTGAAACTCGGTGGTTGCTGTCCTAGGACGTCCAACTCTTGTTTGACACACAAGTCAGAGGTTCCCACCTCAACATCTTTAAACTTACTCGCTCAACGACGTACAGTTCTCACATCAACACAATCACCACAAACAGCTTGAATTCTCTGATGAATCTCCTTTGGGGTGACACCTTCTGCTGTCAAGAATTCAATGACTGCATGTTGCTTAAGTCACATTGCAGGGTTCCATACTTCATACTTTAACAACACAACCGTTCAATGCTAAGGCTTCCTGCCAAAATGGAACTGTAGAGGAGAGTCTACTGAACAAGCCAGTACCTGCTGCATACCAGTACTGCCATCTGTTGAGGAGTTACGAAGGTGGAGACATTACTTTTCATTCAACTCTCGTATATCTCAAATGTGCCTCTGGAACATGGCCCGTCAAATGACATTATCTGCCCGTGTGATCCTTCTGATGTAAAATTTACTACTGCCCTACTCCACTGATTTCCTCCGGGCTTCATGCTTTGCTTCTCTCCCACAAACGCTCCCTTTTCCACGGTGCACACCCACCCAATACTTTTGGATCAATTGTCTGTGAAACCACAGTTTGGAGCTATCGATTTCAACTAGCAATTTAACTGACAGTAACCGAGGAAGGTAATGTAACATTTTGCAGACTCCACAAACATAAAACGAAAATTATTCCCATCAGTCACTTAAGCACGATCAATTCTGCTTAATGGCATGCAACAACCTTATCTAATAAGAGAGGGATGCAAAAGCTAACAGCGCAACATTGTACGGTGGGGGTGGGGTGGTTATGGCCCTCCAGATACTTCCAGACTGCAACTCCAATCATTCCTTACCACTGGCAATGCTGATTAGGACTGATGAGGGTTATGAACCAACACCATCCCTGCTCAACACCCTTGCCTGGAAATTAGCTCCACTGAAGCCAGCAAAGCTTAATTCTGATTAGATGTATAAATTTTCATTGAAATGAACTAAAATAGCTGGGATGGAATCAAAATTCATCCCAAAAGATGTAAACAGATGGATTTCCCAATTCACTAAGTAATTCAGAGGAGGGAAAACATATGCCAAAGATAGAAATCATATGCATCAGCATGGAAATACGAGGGTTGAATGAAAAGTAATGCCTTCGTAACTCAACAGATTATTATTTATTATTATTAACTTTATTTGTACCCCGCTAGCATCTCCCGAAGGACTCGATGCGGCTTACAAAGGCCGAGGCCAACAATAAAACAGTAATATAACAATTAGATATAAACCAAAGCTAATAAAAAAACATAAAGCAATAACCATAAATAATAAAACAACACACCGTGATACAATAAAACTAGGCCAGGCAAATGTAATGGGTACAGATTAAAAAGTGCTGAGTGTGCTGAGTGATATATAAGGATTTTTGGATAGGTGCAATGTGCAGACAATCTTAATTTCTAATAAAGTGCTTTTGGGACTTTATTGCTAAGATTTTCTTATTCTGGAAAGGCACACTGGAACAACCAGGTCTTCAAGCTCTTCCTAAACACTGCCAACGTAGGGGCTTGTCTGATGTCCTTGGGGAGGGAGTTCCAGAGTCGGGGAGCTACCACAGAGAAGGCCCTGTCCCTTGTCCCCACCAGCTGTGCTTGCGACGCAGGTGGGATCGTGAGCAGGGCCTCTCCAGATGAACAAAGAGAGCGTGCGGGTTCATAGACGGAGATGCGGTCACAGAGGTAGGCAGGTCCCAAACCGTTTAGGGCTTTGTAGGTAAGCACCTTGAATTGAGATGTGAAAATGAACCAGATGGCAGTACTGGTATGCGGCAGGTACTGGCTTGTTCAGTAGACTCTCCTCTACAGTTCCATTTTGGTGGGAAGCCTTGGCATTGAATGGTTGCATTGTTAAAGTGTGAAGTATGGAACCCTGTGCAGACTATTGGTCTGTTGGGACTCAGCCTGTGTTTCAGCCTGAATCTGCTATAGTGTTTTCCCCTTCTAATGTTTCTGAGCCTGACTTGGGTAGTGAATCTGATGGGATGAATGCCAATGAGGATGAGGTGCAAAATGGAGACACTTTGGACAATAAGGTTACTACAGACTCTGATCGAGAAGAGTTGGGGGAAAGGCTACGTTCTCATGAGAAAGTTCCTGCCTTGGGAAGGCAGGAAAGTTTACTCCCTTCTCCAGGCTCCAGTTTGCAAGATAGTTTCACACCTCCTGCAGCTAATGAAGAGATAGATAAGACCAGTCGCCATCTGGAAATCAGCCAGAACCGTAGAGAGGCCCAATGTTTATGGAGGTCAGAAAGAATTCGGCAGTTAAGGTCAAAGACTAGGGGGAGTAGAAATCAGTTTCTGGGACTTAAATTGAGCTCTTAGGAAATTTCTTGTAGACCAGTCATTGTTTAGAATCAGGTCAAGTCTCCTGGATATTCTTGTTTCATGTTGCCTTGTCTCCATGGTTTCCTGGCTTCTCAAGTGGATTAACAGTGGCTATGTAGAATGAAGGATTTTGGTTTACTGCATCTGGATTATTACAGCAAGCTTTTGGAACTTTGGTATTATTTTTATATTTGGACACTGTTTTTTGTTGCTGCTTATTTGTCTTTTTTGCTTTTGGACTTTTATCAACTTTATATTTGTCTCTTTTATTGATTACAATTATTCTTCAAATAAATGACTCTTCTTTCATCCAAGGTGTGGTGTAATTAATGACTAGAGGGTCCTGTTCCTGCTCTCGAATGCAACATGGTCAATGCGACTTAGGCAACGTGCAGTCATTGAAATCTTGACAGCAGAGAGTGTCACCCCAAAGGAGATTAATCAGAGAATGCAAGCTGTTTGTGGTGATTGTGTTGATGTGAGTCCTGTGAGTCGTTGGGTGAGTAAGTTTAAAGATGTTGGAAATGTCTGACTTGTGTGACAAACCAAGAGTTGGGCGTCCTGTGACTGCAACCACCAAGTTTCACAAGCCAAAGGTTGACAGATTGATTCAGGACAATCGTCGTATCACTCAGAGGGAAATTTCAAGCATAATCGGCATTTCACAAAAAAAGTGTGGGTCACATTATTGCTTTACTTGGCTATCAGAAGATCTGTGCATGATAGGTTGCGGAAACAGAGTGTCTACTTCTTCCGTGATGGCTTCAGAAAACTTGTACTGATGTATCCAATTGTGTGGTGATTATGTGGAAAATCGTATAGTGGTAGTTAAAGAGCACATGCTAAGGATTATTTCTGCGTTTGATTTATTAGAATATTCCCATCCAAACCCAAGTAACGAAGGTGGAGGCATTACTTTTCATTCAACCTTCGTAGTATATGCAAAATGGTGACAACAGCTCAGAGCTATAGAAGTTCCAAAGTATATCATTTTGTTCATGGAGTACAGTAATACTCCACGAACAATAAATATACGAACCACCTCTTGCAAGGAAAGGTATTATTTCTGAATTGCATCCAGATATTTCTGTAGGTAATAAAACCACAAGTCCATTCCCATTTAACATCTCAATTTAAACTGGCCTCTTATCGTGTGATATGATTATCCTGGCCAGCAGCCACTTCCAAATGCTTTTCAGAACAAATGAAAGGAAGTCAGATGAATCAACTATGTTAGATTTGCTCCCATCTTTACTGTCCTGCAGAACAAAAACATTGGTGCCACGATGTCCTTGGCTACTTTCTTGCAGGAGATAGAGATGAAATTTTACCTTCATCGACTGGTTGATTGTCCTCCCAGCTCTTGATGTAATCGTCCTAATGGGGAGAAGAAAATGGGACAGACGAAAAATATAGATAACATAAAATATCAGCCACAAACATTTCACATGCTTAGAAGTAAAAAAGGCACTTATATAGAGAATGCTATACAGAGACCATATGCTTGCAAATAATTTCTGCTGGGCTTGCCTTCTTCGGCCCCATCTACACTGCCATATAATCCAGTTTCCAAATCCAGATGATCTGCTTTGAACTGGATTATAGGGCAGTGTAGACTCATATAATTAAGTTAAAATAATATAAACTGGATTGAGAAACTGGATAGATTCAGACTTTGTTATACTTTGCAGGAAGATCCAAGCAGTAGATTCATGGTGCATCTTCTCATCTTCTCTCCCCAATGAGATGAATCTCTAGAACAGTCAATGGGAGACATCAGTTCTCCAGGAAACAACCCACGAAGAGTCCTTATTTGGGCTTCTGGTTATTCCTGAGCCTGCTTTCTTGACTCTCTGTGTTTTTTCTTTGGACCAGTGGTTCTCAAAGTGTCCTCCGTGGAGCCCTTGGAGCTCCGTGAAGCATATTGAGGGGCTCCGCGCTTCCCTCTCCCCCTCCCTCCCCCTCCAAGCTTTCCCTCCCCTTTCCTGATCTTAATAATAATAATAATAATAATAATAATAATAATAATCCTTTATTTATACCCCGTCACCCCAAGGGAACTCGGGGCGGCTTACATGAGGCCAAACCCAATAATACAGCAAAGTAAATCTATATAAATAAAAATGTAGTGTTCGTTTGTGGGATTAGCATAACTAAAAACCACTGGATGAATTGACACCAAATTTGGACACAATACGCCTATCAGGCCAACAAGTGACCATCACTCAAAAAAATTGATTTTCTCATTTGGGAGTTGTAGTTGCTGGGTTTTATCGTTAACCAACAAGCAAAGAGCATTTTGAACTCCACCAATGATGGAATAGAACCAAACGTGGCACACAGGACTCCCATGACCAACAGAAAACACTAGAAGAGTTTGGTGGGCACTGACCTTGAGTTTGGGAGTTGTAGTTCACCTACATTAAGAAAGCACTGGATTTGGACCAAACTTGGCACAAATATTCCATATGCCCAAATATGAGCACAGGTGTGGTTTGGGGAAAACAGACCTTGACATTTGAGAGTTGCAGTTACTGGGATTTATAGTTCACCAATCAAAGAGCATTCTGAACCCCACCAACAACGGAATTGGGGCAAACTTCCCACACAGAACCCCCATGACCAACAGAAAATACTGGAAGGGTTTGGGTTAGGGTTAGGGTTAGAAAATACACAAGTCCATCCAGTCCAACTCCCTTCACCAGGGCAAGAAAACGTAATCAAAGCCCTCCTGACAAAGAGCCATCCAGCCATAGATATAGATAGATATATATATATTAGGCCTGTTTGATCAAGAAAAAATTTGTTTCTAAAATCAGATTTGTAATTGGGGTGTTTTTTTGTTTCGATATTTAAAATAATTACAAAACTTTCCAAAAAAAAGTTTTGGTATTTACGAAATTTTGTAAATATTAACGAATTTTTAGAATATTTTTTGTATTTTTTAAGAATAATATTAAAATAATATTAAAAAATATTTTAAAATGGAAAATTAACCAAAAAATGGCCCAAATGTGGATCAAACACAGGCAGGATACAGCAAATGAGAGCACACACCAACAGAAGAGTCTTTTCTTTTTTAGAATATTTTTTAAAATAAAATAATATTAAAAAATAATATTAAAATAATATTAAAAAATATTTTAAAATGGAAAATTAACCAAAAAATGGCCCAAATGTGGACCAAACACAGGCACGATACAGCAAATGAGAGCACACAACAACAGAAGAGTCTTTTCTTTTTTAGAATATTTTTTAAGAATAATATTAAAATAATATTAAAAAATAATATTAAAATAATATTAAAAAATATTTTAAAATGGAAAATTAACCAAAAAATGGCCCAAATGTGGACCAAACACAGGCACGATACAGCAAATGAGAGCACACACCAACAGAAGAGTCTTTTCTTTTTTAGAATATTTTTTAAGAATAATATTAAAATAATATTAAAAAATAATATTAAAATAATATTAAAAATATTTTAAAATGGAAAATTAACCAAAAAATGGCCCAAATGTGGACCAAACACAGGCAGGAGACAGCAAATGAGAGCACACACCAACAGAAGAGTCTTTTCTTTTTTAGAATATTTTTTAAGAATAATATTAAAAAATAATATTAAAAAATAATATTAAAAAATAATATTAAAAATAATATAAAAAATAATATTAAAAATATTTTAAAATGGACAATTAACCAAAAAATGGCCCAAATGTGGACCAAACACAGGCAAGAGACAGCAAATGAAGCAAGCAGCACTCACAGCAGCAAGGAATGAATCCAATCCCAGTTCGTTGCTAGCAGGCAGCCATTGCCAAGCCAACCCAATGCAAACTCCCTCGCCCTCGCCTCTGCACCAAGCTACGGGCCGCGCGGAGCCGCTTTGAAAGGGCTCGCCGGCCAATCAAAAAGAGACAGCAGCCCATGGTGCACTGCTTGGGAGCGCCGGATTGGCTCCCATGCACCAGCACTCCAGCAGCCTCCACCCCATTAACGAAACGAGCGGAGGCTCATAAATACTATGGGGGCTGCTGGTTCGATATTTATAAACCCTTCCGGGTTTGGAGATTTGTTTCAATATCGCTTCGGAAATGGTAAAATTAACGAATTATTAACGAATTAACAATGAACGAAACCGCACAGGCCTAATAGATATGATTCACACACACAGAGAGATATAGTATCATAGATTTGAAATGGACCCCTAAAGAAGGACAATGATATGTTGCATGTTCCAGAGTAGGCAAACCAGACAATCTCCACATCAACACTGACAAAGAAACAGCAAGAAATACTGTTTACCCACAAACATAAAGAAATTTCATATTTTAGAAACCAACACTTTCTCATTACTTTATTTTCCTGATCACCGGACTGGGCCACAGCGCTGCGTGGCAGGGGACCGCTAGTATACAGCATAAAAATACAACAATATAATATAATGCAAATGCAAATAAAAATGCAAAATAATACAAAAACAATATAAGTAAACACACAAGGCAATATAAAATCATAAACATTAAAACACAGTAGTTGAACACAGTGGGTAGGGCCGGTTGCAAAGATTAAAATATAAAACACTGGTGAGAAGGCAATGTAATGTATCTGGAAGGAGGATCTGATGGGAGGAATGAAAACAATGGATTAATTGCACTAAGGGATAGAATAAAGTGCTACTGAGGGCATTTATACAGGATTTCTCCCTCCCACACCTCCCTCACCAACAAAAAAGCCTTTTTCTCTTGACGCCCTTGCTGCCAAAAGCCTTTCCTCCTGCCTCCCTTTCCCCCAAAAGCCTTTTTCCTCATCTTCCTCATCACCCTTTCCTTCTTGTCTTGCTTGCTTCCAAAATCCTATTTCCCTCCCACTGCTCAGGGGGAGCTTTGATTGTGCTTTTCCTGCATGGCAGAAGCAGGAAAAGCACAATCAACTAGATGACTCAACTAAAATACTGTTAAGTTTATGTTGATCAAAAAGTCTGTCCATTCCTGATATATATACATTATATATTATCTAATATATAATAAAAACTATTAAAAAATTATTGGGGCGCCATGAAAAACCTTTGCTTCTAAAAGGACTCTGCAGCTGAAAAGGCTTGAGAGCCCCTGCTTTGGGCAATGAAAAGCTCTTATCTCCCATCAAAAACTAAATGGAGACAAAAGTTTTATCCTGCTGATCTTTCCTCTCTACTGTAGTGCACCATGAAAAGGAAAGCATGTCCCCACCAGCTGATCCAGATGCATCAACAGAGGAGAAGAAACTCTTAGAAAGGATGTGTGCTCGAACAGGGCTTCTTAAACTTTTTCCACTCACAACCCCTTTCTCTCAGAGAAATCATGATGTGACCCCAGGTATATAAATACCCGTATATTACGGCATATAAGACAACAGGGTGTATAAGATGACCCCCAACTTTTCCAGTTAAAATATAGAGTTTGGGATATACTCGCCGTATAAGACTACCCCTCTTCCAATGCACACCAAATAAAATTTTTAAAAGCATCAGATTTGATTTCAATATGGTAATTTTCCTATTACTGTACCTCCTTCTCTGCCTCTCAGATCTCACACATGTGCACCTGCACCACTTCACTGCTGTCTTCAGGAGCGAGATCCGAGAAGCAAAGGAGGAGGTACGGTAATAGGATACAAGGGCGGGCCAGACAGGTAAAAGAGGTGTATTTCCCAGAAACTACAACTCCCAAATGACAAAATCATTTTTTTGAGTGATGGTCACTCCTTGGGTTAGTAGGTATCTTGTGGCCAGATTTGGTGTCAATCCGTCCAGTGGTTTTTGAGTTATGTTAATCCCACAAATGAAGATTACATTTTTATTTCTATAGACTAGCGGTCCCCTGCCACGCATTGCTGTGGCCCAGTTTGGTGATCTGGAAAATAAAGTAATGAGAAAGTGTTGGTTTCTAACATATGTAATGTCTTTATGCTTATGAGTAAACAGTGTTTGATTACGTTTTCTTGCCATGGTGAAGGGAGTTGGACTGGATCGCCTTAAGTATTTTCTATTGGCCATAGGGGTTCTGTGTGGGAAATTTGCCCGAATCCTATCATTCGTTGGGTTCAGAATGCTCTTTGATTGCAGGTGAACGATAAATCCCAGTAACTACAACTTCCAAATGTCAAGATCTATTTCCCCCAAGCTCCTAGGCCTGGGTAACAATGGAAAAATTTGTTTCTAAAATCGATTTGTATTTGGGGTTTTTTTTTGTTTCGATATTTAAAATAATTACAAAATTTTCCTTTTAAAAAGTTCGATATTTACGAAATTTCGTAAATGGTAAAAAATTAACGAATTGATTTCCGAAACAATAACGAATCGATTCGCTAATGGCGGACGCGACCGCGAAATACGC